CCTTGACCTAACAATAATGTCACTCATACTTACTGCTTCTCAGATTGAAATTAGATAAAATGTTGCCCCACGGAGTCAAGAGAAGGTTTTGTTATCAGGTATCCTACTAAATAATATTGGCAAAGCCATCTAAATTCCTTTAGCCCTGCTTTCCTAACGTTAGCTGGGGGACAATGTTTCCTCTTTTACTTCTTAGACTTTGCTTACCCTTGTCCATCTGGAAAGCTCCCGATGCCCAATCACAATGTGCTATGGCTTAAGAAGCTCTGGCCCAGAAAGAAAGGTTTAAGTGCTCACTAAGTCTCTCCCCGTATCACGTACCCACAACTGTGTTTCATTTCCTGTGTCCACAACAACATCAGATTTACCAAGCCCAGTTTGAACCCTAGCATATCCAACTCTTGTTCTAGCCCCTGGATGACCTAAGAGCAAACCTTGCAAGTTCAATACATTTCCCATTTTTCTCTCTTCTTTCCCCCCCATTTTTTGTTTATCCATATCCTTTGCATTTCTTTCCTCACTCAGTAGCACTCATTGTTCAACTGTAAAGATGAAGAAAAATGGAAGCCGAGTGTTCTTCATTCTCCTCTTGTTTTTTGTTGTTGTTTTGTTTTTTATTTTTTTTTTGGATTTGCTTGTAATTTCCCCTTTATCCTTTTTTTGTCTTTTTTTATTTCTAAATTTAAATTAGAAACAAGGTTGTTTCACATGTCAATCCCAGTTCCCTCTCCCTTCCCTCCTCCCATGCCCTCCCACCAAACCCCAATCCCCACTCCTTTCCCCAGGGAGGGGTGTCCACAGTCTGTCATTTCATCAAGGGCAGAGCCTAGGGCCTCCCCCAAGAATCCAGGCTGAGAGAGCATCTCTCATTGTGGGATGGGCACCCAAAGTCCATTTGTATGTCAGGGATAAATACTGATCTACTACCCAAGGCCCCAGGCCTCCTCACTGACACCCACATTCAGGGGACTCTGGATCAGTCTCATGCTATCAGTCTGGGGTTCAAGAGCTCCCCCTTGTTCAGGTCATCTGTTTCTGGGAGTTAAACCAGTCCAGTCTTGACCCCTATGCTCCTCAGTTCTCCCTATCACTGGGTTTCTTCAGTTCAGCTCAGTGTTTAGCTGTGGGAGTCTGCCTCTGCTTCCATCAGTCATTGGTTGAAGGTTCTATTTCCCAGCCTTTCTGGCAGTGGGATTGTATGCTGGCACTCCCCTGATCCATGTCTAAAATCCATACATGAGTGAGTTCATACCATGTTTGCCTTTTTGTGACTGAGTTACCTCACTCAGCATGGTTTCTTCTAGTGCTGTCCATTGCCTGCAAATTTAAAGATTCCATTGTTTTTTCCCACTGAATAGTACTCCAGTGTGTAAATGTACCACATTTTCTCTATCTACTCTTCAGTTGAGGGGCATCTAGGTTGATTCCAGATTCTGGCTATTACAAATAATGCTGCTATGAATGTAGTGGAACTGATGCCCTTGTTGTATGAATATGCATCTTTTGGGTATATGCCTAAGAGTGGAGTTGCTGGGTCTTGTGGTAGGCTGATTCCCATTTTCCTGAGGAATCTCCATACTGATTTCCAGCAGTAGAGGAGTGTTCCCCTTTCTCCACATCCCCTCCAGCATAAACTGTCATTGGTGTTTTTGATTTTAGTGGTTCTGACAGGAGCAAGATGGGATTTCAGAGTTGTTTTGATTTGCATTTCCCTGATGGCTAGGGATATTGAGCACTTTCTTAAGTGCCTCTCAGCCATTTTAGACTTCTCTATTGAGAATTCTCTATTTATTTCTATAGCCCACTTTTTAATTGGTTCCTTTGGTGTTTTGGAAACTTGCTTCTTGAGTTCTTTGTAAATTTTAGAGATCAGCCCTCTGTCAGATGTGGGGTTAGTGAATATCTTTTCTCATTCTGTGGGCTGCATTTTTTGTCTTGTTGACTGTGCCCTTTGCCTTCCAGAAGCTTCTCAGTTTCAGGAGGTCCCATTTATTAATTGTTGACCTCACTGTCTGTGCCACTGGTGTTATGTTCAGGAAGTGGTCTCCTGTACCAACTCGTTGAAGAGTACCTCCCACTTTCTCTTCTAAGAGTTTCAGTGTGGCTGGATTTATGTTGAGGTCTTTGATCCATTTGGACTTAAGTTTTATGCATGGCGATAAACATGGATTTTTCTACATTCTTCTATATGCCAGCATCCAGTTATGCCAGCACCATTTGTTGAAGATGTTTTCTTTTTTCCATTGAATATTTTTAGCTTCTTTGTCAAAGATCAGATGTTCATACTTGTATGGGTTAATATCAGGGTGTTCAATTTGATTCCATTGGTCTACCTGTCTCCTCTTGTTTGTACAGCAGATACCTCTTTCAATATAGTAAACTCAGGGGTAGCATTGACACAAGTGCCTAAATTAACCATAGACTGTAAAACCTGGGGGCTACTGGAGTTTTAATCCTTTGACTTCACTGTGTCATAATAATATTTTATAAAATTCAAATGACAATAATATCAGAAAATGGACTTATTACTATGCCTGGAGCATAGTTTCAGTAGTTGAATGCTCTGTTTCACTGTTTGCAAATGTAGCATGAACTTGTGTGAGTTTCATTACAATAAAAGTTACAAAGCAGCATTGGCTGATATTTATTGAGTGCCAAGCCTTTAAAAGGCATTACCTCATTGAATCCTTCTAACAACTTTAATGCATTTTTTAACTCCCCATTTTATAAATGAAGGAACAAGGAGGTCAAAAACCTACTCAGGACATACATCTATTGGCCAAACTGACAATGTATGAGAATAAAATTATATGAAAGGGATTAAAATGCCACAAGAAGTTAAATTACCTTCAAGGCAAAGCAGAGTCTCTCTATCGATGAAGGCATGGGGTTATTAGGAACATGTTTGCCAAACTCACAGCAGTAAGTCATGCTGAAATAGAGGGTGGACCTCGGTGTTAGAATGCCTGGGGTTTTTTTCTCATTGGGCAGCTCCCATTTCTCAGCTGTCCTATTAGTGGTTGATTGGAACAGGGTTTTTTTAAGTAAGAGGAGGGTTGACCCTGGCTAGCTCGTGATCTTCACCTACCGCAATGACCTCTGCTCTCCCTGTGTGTCCAGGCTGCTACCTGTGTTCTCTCTCTTTCTCACATCTACACACGTGTGGTCATGGGCCAACAGTGTAAACAGATTGTTTTGGGGAGCATTTTCAAGTGTCCAGGATATGAAGAGGCACACTGAGTCAGCTTGCAGAAGTTATACTGGAACTCGGAAACGAGTACAGCAAGGATCTGGTTCTGGAAAGAAAAAAAAATTCATGTCTTTGCCAGTCCCTGGCTGGCGTCAGTGAGCTGCAGGAGAAAGTGGAGCAAGTGTCCTTTGTGTCCCTCAGGCTGTGTTTCTATTTTGCTTTCTCTTCACCTCTGGCTGAGAGAAGACTATGGGGACCAGGCATGTTTATCTGCACCGTTTTTAGCATCCATGATTTCCAGTCCAACCTCAGCCCCCAGGATCTAAATTCAGCTCTTATCCTTCACATTCCCAGAGTCTGATTGTCACCTCAGCCCAGCAAAGAGCGCAGTCTACACAGACTCTGATGGGGCATTGGCACTGTGAAAGGCTGTGACATGTGTAAGAATTCACACGCTACCATGAACCTCATGTTTGTGTACTCTTTCAAGCCCGTCATTCATTTTAGTCTCTAAATGGCCATGCCATTTGCAGGGAAGTGCCCATCTTTGTGAACAGATTCACTTTTGTGAGTGCTCAAGACGTATCTTTTTCGGTCCCTGTGTCTTCCACTGATAATTATGGAATACTTACTGTGTGCCAGATATTCTAGAAATCTAGAAATAGAACCATGAATAGACACAGCAACCACTACCCTCATGAAACATGTAGTCTAGTTGAAGAAGAGAAGTAATTGCAAGGCAGTTATAGGAATCGCATAGTGTTTTGGAAGATGTGTGAGCTAGGAAGCAGTGAGTGCAAAGGTCCTGAGGCAACAGAGCTGGGCATGGGAGACAGAAAGAAAGCATTTGAGCTGAGAAAGCAGGGTCTTTGGTAGCAACTAATTTTCTCAGAAAAGTAGAAGCCTTTGTGACTTTGTGAAGCATTGGAAAGACTTTAACTTATACACTTACATGAGCAGCCATTCAGTGGCACACACCTCTAATCCCAGTACTTGGGAGGCAGAGGCAGGTGGATCTCTGTGATTTTGAGGCCAGCCTGGTCTACAGAACGAGTTCTAGGACAGCATCCAATTCTGTAGAGAAACCCTGTCTCAGAAAAAAGAAAAGGAAAATGGAACGGCAATCTGACCTCAGTGTCTTACAGAAATCATAAATGAGCTGCAGCCCCTTAGGGTAACCAGCACATCCTTGTTAGTCCATGTGGCCATTGGACTAAGGGGCCCAACATCCTGGGTAGGGGGTGAGTTCTGATAAGTTCATTTATAGATTGGGGTGGGGATTTGACACATAGCTCAAATGGATGGCATGGGGCATGTCAAGTACACTTCCTGAAGGCCATTTTCCTCATCAGAGAAACACTGCCTTACCCCCAGTCTTGATTTTGAGGATCAACTCAAAACTGGATATAGACACACTGTATAAATGACAACACCAAGAGCAGCGGTAACGGCAATATTGCTTTTGGGGAAATTCCCTCCAGGACCTACATCAAGATTCTGGGCCCCAAGCTCCCAAGTTTCCCTTCCTTTCTTACTGGAAAGCTGTGGAAATGGAGCCTCCCTTCCCTTCTCCTGCACTGGAGGTGAAGGAGAAAAAGACTCAGCTGATGTCAACAGAAAAGGCCAGACCAGCTCCTAGGCGGATGTTGATAACTGAGGCTGACATGGTCCAGGGTTATCCTGCGGGACGGTCTCATGCCTTTCCCTCCCACGGACCTGTGAGCATCCTGGGTTCAGGCTGCAGGGTATTCATTAACTTGTCCACAGATGGCACATCTACGAGTGACCTCATCTTCTTCTTCTCACACAGGCATTCCTCCTACGGAAGGTTGCTGGATGACCATGACTACGGGTCCTGGGGAAACTACAACAACCCTCTCTATGACGACTCCTAACAAAGAAATGTGGCTGGGGACAAGAAGAGTCTGTCCTTTATTTATAAGTGCTTATTCAGTAGAATTAATAACAAGTACCTGATGCTCATTGAACGACAATCGCAAGCCCTGTTTTGTTGGTATGATTGTTTTTGTTTTTTCATTTTTTCCTCCCTCTCCTCTGCTGCTACTGCAACATCCCCCTTCTGGTACAAAAGAACCATTTTGTAAGGCCAGTGGAGGCCGATTTGCAGCTGACATGGCCATCTTTGCACTGACCAGGCCAGTCAACCATGAGGTGGAAGCTGCAGCCCAGCCACAGGACCCACTTCGGAAGGACTGAGGAAAAGGGCTCGGGGATTTAATTTTAGGGGAACTTTTGGTTTGGGTTATTTCTTAAACGTCTCTATAGGAAATTACATAAGTATCTGAATCCCTGGAGGCTAGCACCCTGTGTGGAGGAAGCAGGGGTTTCTTGATTTCTTTTTAATCCCTACCTGCCTGGCTGTATCTGACAGGATGCCTACCTGGTCCTACAAGCAGATAGACAACTCTTTGCTGCCTAATTAAGGAAAGATGAAAGAGGGCTGTGCCCAGGAGGCCACCAGGCAAGAGCAAAGTAGCATAGTGGGCTGTCAATCTCAGCACTCTCTCAACCTGTTCTCCCCATCCTAGCCATGGGATTCCAGCCCACTCCCCATCCAAGCCACTCCCCATCCAAGCCACACTCCCCATCCAGGCCACGTCCCATCCAGGTGACTGAAGGCAATGGGGATCCAGCCCACTGGCTTTCTGAAAAGTTACAGCACAGTTCCAAAAGAGAAACAGGGAGGAGGGGGAGGAGGTGAGCTTGAAGGACAGGAAGGGACAGGTATGTAGAACACAAGGGTGGGGAAGAAGGGAGAGACAAAAGCTTACATGCATCAAGGACTTGAAGCAAGTAGGAGCTAGCTCTCCATGGTAGTGGGAGATATCTAAATCTTGGAGGAGCCCATAGAACTCTCACTTCAGGCCCATAAAGCATCGGGTTCACTGCCTTACTGTCTATATTGGGTAATAGCTATATGCTATTTAAAAAAAGTTAAGAGGCAGTTAATCTTCCATAGGAAGGAGACACCAAAAAGTACCTGTTTGTTCTCCCCAACACCTACATTACTCTTTCCTCTTTCTTCCTTTTAACGAAAGAACACCTCTGGGTTTCCAGTCTCAAAATTCTGTCCAACAAATTTTGAGAAATAGTCATTTTTCTTGACCGGCATTCATTTATTTCACTTATTACCCATCAGGAAATGGTTTTGCCTTCTTCCCCCAGGGACATTTGAAAATGTCTAGTGGCAATTTTTGATAGTTGCTACTTCTCTGGGAGCACTACGAAGGGGTAGAAACCTGCTAAACCCCCTACTTTTCCTGGGACAACCTGCCACCACAAACAGCCTCCTAGCCGGAAACATCAAAGGCTGACATGGAGGTTGAGATTTATTGTGATGTCCTTGTGATGTGAAAAGACACTCACACATCAGTAAAACCCTTTCATCTTTAACAAAGTGAAACATCAATCTTTTTTCTCCAAAGTGTTTAGTTTGTTGACTGATAAGTTGATTTCTGGCACATGCAGTTGCCTTATATCCGCTTTGTTTCTAGAGTGCTTTACTGCAGGGCTACACCACGGTTCTTCTGCAACTTCTGAATTGGTACCCAGATTCTTATGTCCTGATTTCACATAGTGGAAAACATACATCTTAAAATATGTTACATTGTCCTATGATGTCATAGAGAATAAGAAACCATAAGTCTTTAATTCCTCAGACACATCCTGCTCCATGACTCTGTTGAAGAAAAGCACTATAATGCTATCCTGAACCCCTCTGGTGTGGAGACCATAAATAGGGAGGGGTACTTCCCACAATCAGCCATTCCAGGGAAAACTCTTCCTAAACCTCAGAGGTGCCAAAAGGAAGGAGCAATCCTCAAAGATAGTCTGTAAGCAGAATGGGTAGAAAGGAATGGGTTTGCAGAAATGAAGCTATCCCTGAATATGAACACACACACACACACACACACACACACACACACCTCCTCATAAAAACAACAAGGGTATGCTTGACCTAAACAACTGTCCCTCAGTACTACCCTGACCCATTCACAGGTCTCCAGTTAGGCAAAGGACAAGCAATACAAAAACAGGATTCTACATCTAATTTTCCTCCACCAGCCAGAACCACTTTTGACACACAGCACAAAGCTCTCCATGAAATACTTCAGAAGAGTGGACTTCAGATATCGCTTCTGGGGTCAGTCCTAGGCCAGAGGAAGCAGCTTCCTCCCGAGAACCCTCACCTGTTAGAAACCAAGCACACAGAAGAGGTTTTTTCACACCAAAGGATGCCATTGTGCATGAGCATGTGATTGCCTTTGCTCTGGTTAATTTCCAGTTGCTTCCAGGAAAACACAGCACGGTCACATGCAACAAGGTGGCAGTTTTCCCTCAAAACTCATGAACGACCCTTGATATGTCTGTTAGTATAAAATATGCAAGTGTAAGAACTTACTTTGCCAAATATATCTCTCTTCTTTTGAATTGGCCAAGAGATTTCTGCATCTTTATTCTACAAATGTCGACACACACACACACACACACACACACACACACACACACACACACCTCTGAAATACATGCCAATAATTGATGTCCTTTACCTCAGGGAGTGTTAGTTCAAGTCTACACAAGGGAAATTAGTGGTCCTAGATCTAAAAAGTCACACCCCAACGTGGATAGGACTGGCTGTGATGCTTCTGGAGGAAGTCAGAGTAGAAAGCAAGCTAGGAGCCTCTTCTCAATGGACTGCAAATGACCAGGGGATGGTATGCAACTCTACTTTCTTTTCCTGTGGCCCTGGTGGGACCCCTTGTCCACCTTGCACAGCTGTGTCTTCACTTAGAAAATAGGGGTGATGCTTTCATAGTAGCCTCGCCCCTTCCTACCTCACAGACATAATGTGAGGATTACTGAAATTGTGTCTACAGTGTTTTCAGTTTCTGGAAAAAAACTATTTATGGACGTTTCAAGTATTATATAGATATATAAGTGATCTCAGTTTCTTATTTGCTATTATACTGGTATCTTGTTTTTACTTATTCTCTAAAACAACAGTTAATGTCATGGCCACATCAAATGGCTATCAGAGCTCTGAACATCCCTCCTATGCACCTGACTGATGCAGGGTTAACTGTTCCTGGAACCACAAAGGATGATCTCCCCTCTGACTGAAAGTTGACCCAGGACACAGGTCTCACAGATATGCATCAGGATCCAGGGTAGGATGACACACAATAGATGCCTGAGCACTAATGGCAGAAGACCTCTGACTTTCACATCCCGAGGTCTTGGAGTAGATTATGGTCTAATGTGACCTGTTCGCCCTTCATCTTGCTTGCAGAGGTGCATGGTTTAATCCTGTGCATCTTGAAAATTTGTGATTGGTCCAGTTGCTAATTTGCACGTCGATTCACCTTTGCCTTTAACCTTCTTTTGAGGGCAAATGGATGTACCATTTCAACTTTGATCTCGGGAATGTTAGTTGATACTTGCTCGTTGCCACATTTCTCTCTTGGAGTGAGTTAGCTGACATTGTCAAAAGATGAGAAGGTGTGCAACTTCTTGGATATTTGATGATGTCATATCTACATTTGTTGTAAGATCTATTGCATACCAATTATAAATCTACCAATTAAAGTGGTTAAAAGCCTGCGTCTAGCTGTGGTGATTCATATTATGAGATGTTTTGTTATCCAGGTCACTGGGTTCATTTTTACTGGCCGTATTAAGTAGCTCCAATTTGTTCTTAATGAAACTGTATCCCTCTCCCCCATCAATAAATAATATTTTCTGTAGCATGGGAAGGTCGCACTGATCTTGAAACAGGCTGGGGAAGTATTAGTGTTGAACGAACCTTCTGAACAGTGATTTCACTCCCAAATATTCTGTGTGTTTTATCCAGCAGTAAACATTTTGATTCAGTAAGTGAGCCAGCAAGCATAATCAAGTCACATTAGGAGTGCATGTGGTGTTTGCTTCACTCTGTTTCAAAAAATTAAATTCAGCATATTCATCCTTATCTGACAGCTAATTAACAGGCAATTTCAGCCATCCAGAGTATAATTTCAACCCCAAGAAGCTAACCAAATATTATTTTGATTTTGAAGGAAATAGCCATAGTAAATCCCATGCATTTTGCTGCATATGGGAGGAGTGAACCAGCTGCAATCTAGAAAAAAATGTTTCCTTCTTTCTTCCCCTTGAGACATAGCATAATTGAGTCCTACCAGGCTTTGAACTTACTATGCAGCTCAAGCTGGTCTTGAGCTCCTGACTTTCTACCCACGTCTTAGTGCTAGAATTATAGGCATACACCACAAGAACCTCGTAGACATTACTGACTAGATGATGAATGTATTCTTAAAATCAGGTTTGGTCCATTTAATTGCCCGGTTACCAGTAACACAGCATCGAAGACTTGCTAGGACATCATAAGGAAGGGAGACCAAATCTGGAACAAGTCCCTCCTGTTGGTTGTTTTCGGTGATGTCATCTGGCTATATGTCCCTTGGAGGCTCTGGCAGCAGAGGCCTGGTCAGCAGTCTGTGGCACTCCTAGGGGTTATTGTAAGATCTTTGTGAAGGAAGAAAGTTAGGTATTCAGAGCAAGTCCTTGAAGGAAGACTCGGGACCCTGGACCCTCTCCTCTGTCTTTTGCTTTTCAGCTGCATGAGTTGAGCAGCTTCCTCGACTTTCACGCCAACTCCGGGCCCATGAGGAGCAGGACCATGGACTGACACCTCTGAAAACATAAGCCAGAACAAACCTCCTTAGCATCTGCTTCACACAGACAGACTACTGACCTATGATTACTCCTTGAGGCCCGCCTTGAGCACAAAAGCAACAGATGACTCCTACCTGATGCTTTATTATGCAAGGATTATAACTTTCTAGAGGACTTAAGTTCAGTTCCCAGCACCCTTGATAGGCAGTTTACAACTACCTATAACTACAGATCGCTAGTTCGCTCTCTCTCTCTTTCTCTCTCTCTCTTTCTCTGTCATTCTCTCTCTGTGTCTGTCTCACACAGACATATGCTTTTAAAAAAGATAGCAGTTTCAAAAGAAAATGAAAATTTAAAAGATAACCATGTCACAAAATTAATGATCATAACATGACAAATGCATAAATAAAACAAGTAATTTTTTAACTATTTAGATTTTTAAAAAGCTTGCCTGAATGGAAGTGGAAACAAAGTGCTTTAAATGTAATAGAAATCAAAGGCTTAAAGAGAGTGTGTAGTAAAGTACTTGCTGTGAAGGCATGAGGACCTGAGTTCGGATCCCAGCACCCACATAAAAGCCATGCATGACATGGCTGTAACCACAAAGCTGGAGTTCAGGGTCAGGGACAGGGACAGGGGTATCCTGATGACATACTGGCCAGACAGTTCAATAAAAGTGGTTCAGAGAGAGATGGGAGGGGAAACTTAACTCAAAAAGAGCAATAGAGATAGATACCTGATAACATCCTCTGGCCTTCTCCTGCATTCAGACACACATGAATATGTACACGAACACATGTACACACAAAGAATATGTAGCGTTGACACGCCCTAAGTTCTTAGGTTCAAATCAGTATCTTTCCTTACTTTACACTTTGTTGTCAACCTATCGACAATAGTTAATGTGTTGGCCTTTGTCAGAAAGCACTGAATCAAAACTAATGGTTGCAAAGCACTGATCTTGTTGAGGGAAAGTTGTAAGAGGTGGTGTTGCTTCCCTTAAAAGACCTCGTCCTTGGCCAGTGCAGAGCCTGCTATACGCCTGTCAACAGAATACTTCACGGAACGAACACACCATCAATTTGCCTTAACAAATGCATCAAGTTCTATGTGAACCAATAAATTGAATATTTACAATAAAAAATAAGTGATCGTAACTCACTGGAGAACTGATGCCAATGAGCGTATTGTGTATTAGAGGTCATTATACACTCCCCACATACACAGATGGAAAACTCTAAGATGTGAGGCTTATTCAATACACTAAGTTGGTCCATACACTTGGTAATGAATGAGATGAACTAGCTCTCCCAATAGTTTAAGTCTAGTTAGTGGCAGGATTGGGACTCAAACCAACTCTTTCTGTCATCGGAGCCCTTTCCACCCAAGAGACCAGTGTTCATAAGCCTAACCATGCCACCTCCCGCTAACACGGGACTTTCCACCCCTTGCTCCGTCCCTGCTCAGCTAATTTGAGCAATCTCAAGTGGTCTGGCATGTAGCCAACAGCAAGCCCAGTCGGTTCCCAGCACATGTTCCCTGCCAGGCACTGTCACCCTTGTGATAGCTCCTGCTATCTGCCAAGCCGTGTTCTCTAGGAGGAGAGGCCATCACCACGGAGCCATGCGCTCTTGGAATTTCAGAGTGAACCTCTCATTTCCCTGATACCCACAGGAATCAGCTTTGAGTCCCCAGCAGAGTAGATTAGGGATGCTGCCTTTGTAGTCACCCCTGCCGCTACTCAATGGTACTTCATTGTGTCAGCTTGTCTTCCCTCAGAGCAGTAATGATTGTAGGGGTGAGCCCCACAAAGATATGCACCCCTACAAATGACAATGTCTTTTCCTCACTGAGCACTTACCGTGAGCCACATACTGTTTTGAGCACTTGATATGGCTTAAAATTCCTGTGACACAGATACTATTAAAATGGTCATAGTATGGGTGAAGACACTAAGGGCCAAAGATGGTGGGGCAGAAATGAAATGTTTACCAGTGGTCTTCAGAATCCGTGTTCTGGACCACTTTCAAACAGAATCCTCATTCCATGCTAGAATGTCCTTGCACCTGTATTCTGCCAGCCATCAGCCATTCCTGTCCATGTGGGACAACCCTCAGCTAGAGCCGGGTGCCCAGCACAGAAGCAGGATCTTCCCTATATCGAGTATCGAGGGTTCTGAAGTGGCCCACCCCACATCTGGATACCTGCATGGTGACACTTGCTCTTGCTAATGCTTTTGGTCTTTTGAAGGCAGCACAACCACTGATTAGTCGCATGGCAGTCGCTATGTTGTCTCTATCTACATCCTGTTCTTCTGTTCAAGGTCACTATACGTTTCTACTTTGTTTTCTCCCAGTAGCACAACACCCCAGACTAGGTGAGAAATGCTGGAAGGAGATTCATTGTGACTCAACTTCCATGGGCAACATTGTCAAGGAGCTGCACTTGGCGGCAACCGTTTTATTTAGTCTCACAGTGGTACAAGGAATCATATAGCAAGAGACTGAGAGAGAGACAGAGAGACAGAGAGACAGAGAGACAGAGAGACAGAGAGACAGAGAGACAGAGAGAGAGACAGAGAGAGAGAGAGAGAGAGAGAGAGAGAGAGAGAGAGAGAGAGAGTACCCTGGTCTCTCCCATAGAAGTCAGAAATATTCAGTTGTAAGGGTTAGTCTTAGTTAGGGTTTTATTACTGTGAAGAGACACCATGATCACAGCAACTCCTATAAAGAAAAACATTTAACTGGGGCTGGCTTACAGCTCAGAGGTTTACTCCATTATCGTCATGGCAGGAAGCATGGTGGTGTGTAGGGCAGACATGGTGCTGGAAGAGCTAAGAGTTCTACATCTGGATCGGCAGGCAGCAGGAAGAGACTGCCACATTGGACCTGGCTTGAGCATCTGAAATTTCAAAGCTCACCACCCCTTAGTGACACACCTCCTCCAACAAAGTCATCTCTGCTCCAATAATACATCCTAATAGTGTTACTTCCTATGGACCCTTGGAGGCCATTTTTATTCAAACCACCACATGGCTCCACACCAATGGCTCCTCTAATCTCAGTCATCTTCCACAGGCCCTACCCCAAAACGTCATAGACAGATGTTTCTACAATCTCTATGCATCACCATTGATATTAAATCTCATCATCATGGATACTAAATGAGTTCTGGAGGACAAATTAAGTTAGGTACAATGGTTTGGCTCTCAAATGCCCTGTACAGGCTTGTCTGTTAAAGCCTGACCCCTAAAATGGCACTATAAGGAAACAGTAGGGCCCTCAGGAGGCAGAGCCTAGCTAGAGGCTAGTAGGTCATTAGGACATGGTTTTGAAAGGAGTCGTGTGACCTTCACACCCTCCTCACTCTCATTTGTTCCTGACCATGAGGTGAGCAGGGTTTTTTCCCTTATGTTCCTATCATGGTCATGATGTTTTACCACAGGCCCAATGGAAGGAGGACAATCAGCCATCGCTGAAACCTCCAAGCCATCAGCAGGGAAAAAATAAATCTCTTCATGGATTAATTTTCTCAGGTATGTCATTAAAGTGATGGAAAGCTGACTGATATGGGCATAATATGAAATATAGTCACCCGCTTAATCACTACCAACTCAACATCAGGAGTCTCCAGGCTTCAGACCCACAAAATGATTAGTGACAAAGTCCAGAACTCCATCTTGTCTCCCTACTATCTTCTCCTTGGCACATGGACAGAACTGAGTTTGACAAATAACGCTGGGTGGAGTGTTGAAAAGCTCAACCAGTCATAAAGCCAGGTGTTGTCAGGAAGGTTGAGAAACGGAAGTTCAGCGCCAGCCCTGGGGCCAAGGACAGTCAGCTCTGCTACAGGGGTTATCAGGAAAAGCAAAAACAAGAGCACTGCTCCGCACATTCCAGGAACTTACATTAAAATGTTAAAGCAAAATTAAGTATTTCATAAAGAACTTGGGGTCTTACACACACTTAGAAAAATCGGGAGGAAGAGAGTGGTTAAGGAAGCCATCAGCAGTCACTGCTCAAATTCTAAGGTGTCAGACTGCACAAAGGGGGGGGAGAGCTCTCAGGGACTCACAGGAGCTCAGCTGAGAGCAACGCTTTCTGGAGAAGAATGAGTTACCTTTTTTTTTGTATCTTCCCTTTCTTGTCTGAAAATCTGTCATAGGCAAAGGTAAGCTAGAGCCGCATAAGAAAAGTGATCCAAGAGGTACCCTATCTGGCTGTTTTGCATTAGGAAAGAGGTCTTAGAAAAGGTGACCATTGCAAGCCCAAAGCAAAGTCTGGCATGCTTCCTCCTTGAGGAGCTAGGCATAACTGTAGGTCACTGCATCTCTAGGCAGACATATCCCATTCCTAGTTAACACATAGTCTTCCTCTGGTGCCAAATTATAGCACTTTAACTCCTTAGGTGTGTGTGTGTGTGTGTGTGTGTGTGTGTGTGTGTGTGTGTGTGTGTGTGTGTGTGTGTGTGTACACGCACATATACATATCAAAGTATAGAAAAAAATGCATAGATACTAAAATTTCCTCTTCACCCAGTCACATAACCATGTTGCAGTTTATACCTTTCACCTTCCACTAGCTAAGACTTGTTCCCAGGGCCCTCTGTCAACATCTCATGTGCTCGTGACTTCTCCAGGCAAAGTGACTCAACCTTTCTATCAAAACACCAATAAAGCCTGAGGCCTGGAAGGAAGAAAGAGAACTACTGAGCTGAGTAATATTCCTGCCCAATTTAAACATTTTCAAAAGACAAATGAACTAAGAAAAAAATGAGACAAATGAGGAAAGAATGGGAGGAGGAGAGCTGCATGTAAATACATAATGTGCCAAACCTTCTCTTTCTCCCTCCTTATTTTCACAGCTCTTTCTTCTCCCATCACTTCAGCCTACCTCACCTTCCTCCCTCAAAAAGAAAACAAATGTACAGGGAGAAAATGAAGACTGTGTTTAAACCCATTCAGCACTTAACCTACTACACTCAAAGTCATGGACCATTCTACATGCCATATACCCGCCAACCCCTGGAAGCTCCCCCATCTCCATTTGTGGGTCTCTGAAAACTATGCATTCCTTAGAAAGATTAGGGTGGCATGAGAATAAAGAAAGAAAAGGCACAGACACATGTACAAAGGAAATCTAGGTCTGTAAACTAAGACTCTTCAAGCACATAGGTCTGGGTACTTTGCTAACATAAAAATCCTCACAGCCGGTCTACCATGGAGACTCTACCAACAGAGGCTCATGGAGTGGGTAGCTGTGACTTCTGTTTGGTAGTGAATCTAGATCCAGATTCAAAGAGTTTGACCTTAGACCCCAGTGCTGTAGTCCCAAAGTTGGTACTTTCATCTATCTCCTTACCAGTCCTTGTTGGTCATTGACCATGTACCCCAGCTCTGAACTACACAGAACTTAGGGTACGGAGAAATAAGAGTCACACTTTTTTTTCAAATTACTCATTTTGTACCATATCTTTTCTTCTTGTTGGATGTTTGGGCAACGTAACATCTGAACATCGGTCTGTCCTTAAGTCTCAGTACTGATGATCAGTAGGTTGGACAGTGTTAGACCTCAGATTCCTCATTTATAAAACATAGATTGCAAGGCTTTCCTGGCAGTGCCATTACAAAGACTAAATAAAGCAGGCAGGTGAACATCTGTCTTCTCCGTATTCACTTGGGAGGCTGAGGAAGGAGGGGTGTGAGTGAGTGGGTTCAGGGTCAACCTGGGCCGTGTAATGACAATGTCTCTCAAAAATCAAACAACAAAAAGACTAAGTAAGATCTGTATGCACAGTGCTCAATCAACACTTACCCTTGTCCCTTGCCGTTTTTCTCTGTTCTAAGAAGGAATGAGAGAACAGAGCTAGAAATGCAGACGCTATTGGTGGGTGAGTGACAGCTGAAAAAGGAAGGGTTGAGAAACCCGGGTTTTGCTCCTGAAAACCCTGTTAGCAAAATAAAGTATCAAATAATTAGGAAAAGAAAACGCTCCACACTTTGGCATGCTTTTTATAACATCAAGATTTCACATGTAAAAATAAACATGTGCTATAAAATCTACACTTCAAAATATTCGGGCTAGGAAGTGTGGGTTTTGGCTAATTAATAGGGAAATGTATCTGGTGGATTGAAGGTGCTTCCTTTTTGCTGATGGAGTCTTGGGAACAGGAGGCCATAAAGAACAGTTTATGTTTTAACAAAATGGCACCGATAAGGGTATCAGAATAAGCAAGCTAAAACACGGCCGCTACCGGATATCCAAGGAACCCCAAAGAAAATAGTGATGCAATCTGTTATATAACTGTTTTTTGACAGACTGCCACTTCTGTGTGGTCCCATATAAATATAGTCTTGAGGTCAGGGACCTTTACCTGAGTCTTTGCCCCATTTCTGCCAGCATGCCTATGTCCGTCTGTCTTCCTGTGAGCCTACATGTATGCCTGTGCCTGTCTGGGTGTGGCCCGTGTGGCTCAAAGTAGGCTTTGGCAAGATGCCTGGCTGGTGACCTTTGCCCAGAGTGAATAAAGCCTGGCTTATCTGCCCCAGATGACTGGAGTGTTTTTCAACACCCCACCACCACCACACCACACCCCAGACTTCCCGTGACTCTCCTTTTTTACTGGCATCAGAGCATTGACCTCACGTGGGGTCTTGGCAATTAGAATGGGTAGTTTTCATTGTGCTGAAGATCCAGACATTCCCAACATCTATGTCGTGGAAGACCAAGTTTTCTTTGCTAAACTCATGTACAGGACTAACTGCAAAGGTCTAGATGTCTTCTTTCACAGTGGTCCCCTGCTCTCTCTTCAGGAACAGTGAACACCCCTTCAGCTACCAGAGGGAGCATCTCCTGACTTCACAGCTGCCTCTCAGCTTCCCCTGAAATCAGTTTACAGTTCTCTTTGTCAAAGTCCACATCCCAGGCTTTGTTTGTAGGAGTTTACAAAAACCATCAAGAATTCCTTTACCACAACATGTCCTTTAGGATCGTGGCATCTGGCCACGT